TGCGTCAGAAGATGCAAGAAATGTGGCCACCGTGGGGCAGGTAACTAAGTGTGACCAAGTGCAGTTGAGCCAACTATGAACATTTCAGAAGCATCAGTGGGTCATGTTGTTGGCACGCAGTGGTATCTTGACTGCAAAAAGCTTTCCTACCTGTATGTGTATGTACGTGTTGCCAAATATCTATCCAGATAAAGCAGCATGTGCAGTAAAGGTTGTCTAGATGCTGAACAGTTTCATACCTTTTTAAAGATTAATGCTTTGTAGTACTATTAGCAAAGGTGGTAGTCAGTTTGGCAGACAATTGTATTGGCTGTTTATGTAAATCTGTTTTAAATGTAATTTAAATTCTTTAAAGTTGATAACCCCAGCACTTGATTGTTTGTTCTTTGTCTCCCTTAAGTTCAAACATTATTTTTAAAGATACTTTCTTGTCAATTTTCAGCATACTTTCTTTGCTTGAAAAAATAGCAGTGTATGTGCATTTTATGATCTTTTTTTTTATAACAACAGCTTAAAAGACTACAGAATTAGGAAAAAAAAGAAAATCTTTATCTGAGGCTTGCTAGTAAGCTTATAAAGGCTCTTCACAAAAGGCAAAAAATGTACTTGTGATTTATCTAAAATACAGTTATAAAATGCCATAATTTTTCTCTATTATTGCTGTTATAGATTATTTGGTTTAGACTTAGAAACTTTGTTTTTGATTTAGAAACTTATTAAAAAAAAAAGAAAACATGACAAACACATTCATGATATACAAGCCATGTGAACTTGTGTGTCTGAAACTCCTCTTAGTAGAATTTTAAATACAGTGTACTTGACTATTGCCTGTACTTGGATAAGGAAAACAGATTAAGGGAAATAACTTATTAAATTGCTTATTTTTTCACCATTAAAAGGATGGGCAGATGATTTTTTATTCACAGTAATATCCAAATGTGTATGTTTGCTTTCCATTTGGATAGGAGCTCTAGATATCCTGTATTGTCTGTGAAACATCCCTCCAGCTGAATAGCAGTGGTCGGGTAGATCTCTTTCTTTGACATTGTTTCCAATGGTTTTCATCTTTGCAGTTTGTAGATATGAAATGGAAACTGGGAGTCGCAATGAGCTCTGACACCTGCCGGTCTCTGAAGTACCCGTATGTTACAGTGACGCTGACGGTGGCAGACCCTTCAGGACAGATAACGGACAAGTCTTTTGAAATGACGATCCCACAGTTCAAGGTCTGTAGCGAGTGTTACTTGACTCAGTCTCCTAAAAACAGTGCTGTTGTTGTGAAGGAGCAGCTGTATACCTTAATCCATACTTTTGTGTTGCTTGTTTACCGATACAGTCATGCGAAGATGAAGCATTAAATAACTATTTAAAACACAGAAGCTAAATACTTACTTCACAGTATTTAGTTCTACATCGCTTATCTGAAAATGTTATTTTAGCAGTAATTAATCTGTTCTCGTAAAAATAAACTAACAACTGAAGACATAAAGTCTTTCAGATCACGTCAGCTATCATTCTGCCTTATGAAATTTATAGAATATTCTTAATCTGTGGAAATGTTCCCCAGCCTCAAAATCTAAAACTTGTCTTAAGCCTAACATTTGCTAATGATTAGGAATGGAGATCAGTCTTCTTTGTCACCACTGACTCTTAATTACTATGTCTTCATCCATGAATTTATGCAACTTTAATTTTGTATAAATGAGGCCCTTGTGTTGTCATTCCTGTTTAAAGGGATAATACATCACCTAGAATATCATATAAGCTTAAAATAAATAGACTGTTGGATTGGAAGAAATTTGAGAAGGATATTCTGAATCCTTCGGTGTTGTAAAATGTATTCATTCTGACTGAAGCCTATTTAACAATTTGCTATTCAGCTGCTATAGGAAATGGGTGCTACATTTGAGAAGTCTGGATTAATTCATCTGGGAGTAGAAACATTAGTGTGGAAAGGGGTGTTTTTATTTTATTTCTTCATGGTATGAGAGCTACTTTGTATTTTTCTTTCCTAGCATCTTTCCCTATTAATAGACAAGCCCATGCAAATGAGGCATCACCTTTGTAGAGTTAGTAGTTAATGTGCCCAAATGTCAACCAGCCAACAAAAAGAAAAGCAGAAACTTTCAGTTCAAGCTGCACATTGTAACTGGAGGAAAAAGGGAATGTGAGAAATATGGATAGTGTTTTTTGCCTAACATGCTAGTTTGAACTGTTCAAACTATTCTTCAAGCAACTGAAATTTATCTTAATTTTTGCTTTTTAGAACTTCTTCAGACAGTTCAAGGAAATGGCATCTGTTCTTGAAACAGTTTGAAGAGAACTTTATTTACAGTGACGTTTTGGACAAAGTTAGATCAAGGAAACTTTTCTTTCTGCACAGGGAATAAAGTGCCATTGTTCTGCAAGGTATGTATCCTTGTCTTTTTGACAGGAATTGCTCGGCATCATCCTTGCATTGCTGTGAAGATTTCTTCGCTTTGAAGCCAACTCTGCAGTGTTTGTGAACACATGTTCAGCTTTGTTCATCCTGGTAGACAAAAGATCAGGATGTATATGGAGAAGCATCCCTGTAGACTTCCGAGTACCCACACTGAACTGTAGTGCAGAAAGACACCTGAAAATGTTGACTGGAAAGATACAGAGAGAAATAAATCTCATGTTAACACTTTCGTCTGTAAAATTGGGATGCTCTTGGAGTCAAAAATGATATTACATATAAGGAGAATATGAAGGTACATGTAACAAGCATACAGTTATTCTTGAAGAATAGCATTGTCAAGTAGTTTGGTGCAGGTATTTGCAGACCTGGTTTCCAATCTTTTAATAACTGGAGAATGAACTTGTCTTAATGGCTTGTTTATTTCAAATACTTATTTCTCACCACCTAGGCTTCTAAAAACTGCGTTAATGCATTAAGTTATTCCAGAAACCCAAAATTTATCCTCTGAATTGAAGCCAGAGGCTAATTTTACATAAAGGTAGGAAGGCAAATTTAATTCAAAAGCATTTTAATATATTTTTGCTTTTTCATTTCATCCAGTACTAATTTGTTGCATTCTGCTTGATGTTTTGGTCAGCAGTCTGCTTTCTAATTAAATTAGGATATTCATGTAGTTGCTTCAGTCCAAGCTCTGAATTAGAAAAGTCAAGAGGAAACTTGAAAATTCAGGCTGGAGTGCTAGCCAAGCACATCAGAGAAAGGACCACACTAAAAGATTTCTGCTTGTTGCATTGTGTTAGGCATCCGCTGGACTCTGTTCTGCAGACTCGCTCTAAGAGAATGTCCTAACTAGCAAGATTTTGGACTTTGATGCTGAAGAATGGGGGCATTTCCAAAGGGGAGTGATAAATCCAGTGTGATTGCATGCTGTTTTTTAATTTTTTTTCATTGAGTTTTCCATAAAGCAAAAAACACACTGCATGTACTGTGGGATGTAGTAAAAGCAACACTATTGCATCTCAAGATGTGCTGGTGGTGTAGTAGAACAATTAAATCTGAAGAGAGATAAGTCATAAGCAGACTGAAGTTTATGCTTCAAATTCAGAATGGTAGAGACTCAGCACTAGTTTTGCTGGGACAGATCCTCAAGTGATTTCAGGCCCCCTTAAAAGTGAGAACATCTACCTTTCTAACTCACTTAATGGTTTTTTTCCCACTAACATTTTTTAAAAGCTGGCTGAAAGTCATTGATATTGGTTATGCCTGCCTTTTTGTGCTATAAAAATAAACAGCACATTGTGCTGCATGCAGCAATCCTTTCAGGAAAGAAAGGATTTTCACTCCCACGATTTGGGTACTATGCATGGTGCATAAAAACAGTACTTGGAGTTGCTTAGAAGCCCAAATAAGTGAACAGGCTTTAACAAAAGTTTTCAGCTATGGCCATTGATCTGGATGATACTTTCTTTGGGCTGCTTGAAGTCTGAGGTGTTTGCTTTGCGGCTGGGGAGAGCAGATTGGTCTTTTCTGGGACCCTCTGAATAGAATGTCACAAAATGGTCTTGAAACAAACTTACAGTTTGCTCTTCCCTTGTCTGTCTGCAAGGGCTCAAGGCTGAACATAGTGCAAACAAATCCTCTCTGTGTATGGAAGAGTGATGCGAGCAGCTGATTTTTTTGTGTTGTTTTTTTTTTTAATTTGCAAACGTTGGAGTGTAAGGCTGCTATTACTCGAAAACATTGGCTTTGGCCTAGTGAATTGTTTTACATTAGTGCAAGAGTTCCAAAAAAAGAATAAGGGTTTTTTTTTAGTAAAGCCGGAGCCTTACAAATACTTCCCATGTGTTCTAATGCACATAAATTCTTCATATAGCTGGAAATACTCGTGCCTTCATTGGAACTGGATGGAAAAGATTTTATTAATCATGTCTTAACGATTCAGTAGGTGCTGGAATGTAATGAGGGAACTTCCAGTTAGCGTTTTTGCTTGGTCCATCAGGAAGAGGAGAAAGTTGTCAGCCTTTCTAAAGTGTAACTTACATTTTGTCAAGTCAGATATTCTAGAAATATTGATGAATGTTTTTTAAAATGTCCCTGAACTCCATCCAGCATGTGGTAATTCTGGCTGGAAGATGCTTGGACATGTGTGCTATACCAGTTTACTGTCTGAGAATTTTCAGAGGAGTTATGATTTGAAGTTGGCTCTGTACTCAAACTTCTGACATATCCTGATCTACCAGTGGGAACTCCGATACTGAGTAGTGGAAGAATTAAGTACTTCATTAAAAGAAACCAAACTAAAAGAAACCTATCAGTTTGTAGGATAGCAATACTAACACATTCAGACAAGCTGACAAGCTGTTGAATTGTTTGTCTATTTTATGTGCAGAAACCAGATCTTTTAAAAGAGAATCAGGAGTCCTCATGTGTTCCTAATTCTAATTGTTGATTCATACAAAACTGTATAACATGAATATTTTTGTAAATCCACAAACAGTCATTAAACATGTAGGTAACAAAGATAAAGCTGGTCTGTATTTTGTTTTAAGCCTCCTGCACGGAAGTCTGTCCTGTAAATTACTAAAGTTCAGGATCAGACTATGACTAAACTTTCTTTCCTTTTTAAATTAGGATGGAGTTCAAACATACGCAGTCTTTCTCTGTGATGGGCTACCAAGGAGCTGATGGGTAACTGCAGGCTGCAAGGACTATTTGTATCAGTTACTTGGACCTAGACAAAATGTTGTATTGAATCAGGAAAAGACAGAGGACATACAAGATTAATGAAATTTTGCAGGAGGTTGCATTTAAATGATTTCCTTTTCTTAATTGTATTTAGGAGACACGTGAACATTTTATTTTTTTCAACATTTGCCTAGAACAGACCAAGAGGAAGGAAGGGGGATGGGGTCTTGCACAGTCAACAAACCCAGGGGAGAGAATAGTGAAGGAATGTCCTAGCAACAGCTGTTGTCTTCATCATATGACTTTTTCTTTTGCTTTAATTTCAAACACACCAGACCACTTGCAAAAAGCTATTTTGTAGAAAGTGCCACAGAAAGAGTACACAGATAGCTGTAGTATGTCTGTGCACTAGTGTTTTATATATTGAGCTTCCGTACACTTTGGCCTAGTCATGACCCAAGTAAAAGCATCGCTGTTCCTACTTCCACAAAACTGTACTGCCTTTCTTTAACCACGTTATAAAGGTATGTAACCTTGTTCACTGTGATCCCATCCCCTTTTATTTTTTTACATTTCTCCTTTCCAAGCCTATGCACTCTATCTGAAGATACATTACCTTGGATCAATTAAAAACAAAAGTAGATAGATGATAAGTTGGGGGAAGAACGTTTTTTTTTCTTGCTTGCCCTGTTCCTTGTCATATTTAAATGTTTTGTTACCCTCCTAACTGTAGGTATAATGAGAAGGTAATTTCCACTCCTTTGCAGAGGCATGCAGGGTGGTTCTGGCTAGTCCCTGCAGGTACTAAAGTAACACACCAAAGTGCCTGAGTCATTTGATCTACCTGCAGCAAAAAATGCCTCATCTCTGAAGAACCTTTACAATGGAGGCAGGGGGAGGGGGCATTTGAAACTGAGCACCCTCTATCCTTTCCGGAATTCTTTGGTTGATCATGTTAGGGCTCATTTCCCAGATAGATTTTTAGGACAGTTACATGCCTGTTGGTTGGGCTGCTAGCTTGCTGGGCATTCACTTCATTAGGAAGCTGGATTTGTGCAGGTCCATATCTGACCTGAGTGTCTTGACCTGAGCTTGCATGGTATGTTGTTACGGTCCTCCTGAGGCTCAGGCAGTTCATAACTGGACTTTCTTATCACTGAGAAATTTTGGCCAAACATTTGCTTTACTTTTGCTTTATCTGTACAGCACTGTCCATACCTACTCATCCAGGTCTACTTTTGGTTCTTTAGGGGAGGAGGGTCATGGTTTAATCCCAGGTCAAACACCACAAAGCTACTTGCTCACTCCCCTTCTGTGGGATGGGGGAGAGAGTCAGAAGAGTAAAAGTGAGAAAACTCATGGGTTGAGATAAAGACAGTTTAATAGGTAAGGCAAAAGCTGCACACACAAGCAAAGCAAAACAAGGAATTCATTCAGCACTTCCCATGGGCAGGCACATGTTCAGCCATCCCCAGAAAAGCCAGGCTCTGTTCCTGTGTAATGGTTACTTGGGAAGACAAACACCATTACTCCAAATATCCCCCCTTCCTTCTTCTTCTCCACCCTTTATATACTGAGCATGATGTCATGCAGTCTAGGATATCCCTTTGGTCAGTTGGCATCAGCTGTCCTGGCTGGGTCCCCTCCCAGTTTCTCATGCACCCCCAACCCACTTCTGGAGGGATGGTGTGAGAAGCAGAAAAGGCCTTGGCTGTGTTTAAGCACTGCTCAGCAACAACAAAAACATCTCTCATTATCAACACTGTATCCAGCACAAATCCAAAACAAAGCCCTGTACTATCTCTTGTAAAGAAAATTAATTCTACCCCAGCCAAAATCAGCACATGAGGAAGCACACAAGTTGGAGGGACGATGCTCAGTACTCCTCATACCTTTGAAAGACTTCCTGATTCTTGTTTCCAGGGCTTTTCTGAGGGAAGGGGGAGAAATGAGCTGTCACTTGAACTGAGTTACTGGGATATGTCTGTTAATTATGACTTTGTGTCATTGAGAAAGTAAGGAATATGAGATTGCTGATTGTCTCCATAAAGGCTAATTTTAGGGGTTCTGGGTTTCCTCTTCCCTATACTTCATTTGCATCCTGTGGCTAATTATGGTCTAGTTGCCCTAATTTGAGAACTGCTTCTGTTTGATATGTTTAAGTGCCATAGTTACAAATACTCTGTCAGTGTTTACATTGCAAATATTGTTATGTTTATATAAATTGGAAGTTTCAATGTCAGTTTTGTACATCACATACTGAGCTTAGGAACAGTAAGGAAAATTTATTATTTCATACGATAAATCTCTGTGCTAGGTAAGTAGTATTTCCAGGGGACTTGGTCATAGCATCGGTCACCAGGTGGCACTGCTACACACAGTCTTGCTACACAGCAATCCTTTGAGAGCATGTCTGGAAATGGGATAAGGACTTCAGGTTTTCTCCCCTGTGTTGCTTGGATCCGGAACTGTACACAGTCATGTCATCATAACTTCCATCCTACTTCTTACATTGTATGGAAACACTTTAATTTCTGTTTTAGTTATCAAAAAGATGAGCATAAAGATTTCCAGTGACACAAACAACATTCAGCATTTTAATGATAACAGAATACCTATCATTGTGTATTTGCACCCGCTTAAAACAGTAATTTAATTATACTAATGTTTCTGCATTATGACTTGTTCTTCTAAAAGTATCATGTTGCATTTGGAGCCCGTTTTCATTTTACTTTTTTCCCTGTTTATACATTTCTCAAAAAGATTTTTCTAGATCTGTGTCTTGTTTATAGAATTAGCATTTTCATTTCTCTATCCAAGGTTTTCATGCAGTTTGACCACTCTAAAATCCTTCTTCCCTATTTTTTTATGCAGCTTAGTTACCAGTGTCTTTATGCCGCATTTAGGAGTACACTTCTCTGCCACTGAAATTGGCCCAGGTGCTTAATTCCCCTGGGAATTACCTCTGAATCTGAAAAATCAGACGTTTTTGGTTATACTGAAGCTGCAAAGAATTTTTCTGTTCCCATGAATGTCATCACTGTGATGTCTTTGGCAGTTGAGAGCTTGGCCAAATTAAAGCAAGACAGGCTTCCTTCCTAGTGATGCTTTTGAACTGAGAAGTACCGGATATTGCAACCACATATGAGGCCTGAGAGTGGTGCTAAGGTTTACATTCATAATAAGCAGAGGAATGTAAGCACATGTCTCACACAAATCACCAGTGTGCTGTACGATGCTGCTTCTCGCAGTTGGGAATGTGGGAAGATGAGAGATGCTCTGCAGGCAACAGAATCAAGACAACAGATGTCAATTTACCTAGGAGAGAGTCAAGGACAATGAGAAAGAGGATTAAGGGGTTCCCATCTGTTCTTTTTTGTTTTTTTGGCAGCTACACTGGCACCATTCTTGGTATTGTGCTGGGCCTACAAGTGCAATCTACTACAGATCTGCTAACCTTTCTAGCTTGTGGTTCATCCTTTGTAATAATATATTTGTGGAATAATATTAGATGTTCCTTTTGGCTTTGGCAATGACAATTCTGTCTTAGTTTCCATTGCTGGAGAGTTGGAGTGGACCAGGATCCTTTCCAAATCCCAAAATGAGGTAGATGTAGTAGGCACTGCCAGGCAGAGTAGACAGCTCCAGCAGCCACAGCACGTACTCCATTCTTCCTCATTTTTTTCTCTGCTATGTTACTGTTACTGCAGTGGTTGGGGAATGGTAGAGAAGTAAATGGCTCCTTTATATAAAAGCAGAAATAATTGGGAATAGGGAAGATCTTGTTGCAGAAGTTGCTCTGTCTTCTGCAGTAAATAGCTTTGCAACTGATCTGAGCTGCTAACAGCTATCAAACTGTATTATCTCAACAACAGGGATTTTAGTAAGCTGATCTGATACACTTTTTCGAGGGGGGGAAGCCTTATTAAAGAAAAAAAAAAAGGACCAAAGAAACCCCATCAAATTTCAAATGTTCCCACCTGGAAAGATGCTATGATCACATGTAAGCACACAGGACTCAAGATTAAAACTTAGTTTTAAACAAAACAAATTGTGGTTCTTCACTGGATTCAAAGTCTGTTGTGCTGGAAAGTTTCATGGGATGACTGTTACATGAAAAAATGACTAAAATAAGAATCCCCAATCAAATTTCTCTTCTTTGAAGAGAAATATAATATTTCAATACATTGTCTCTCTTAATAGATGCTACATTAAATTGAATAAGAATATGCTGAACTCAGACATAAAATGTGTCCTTAAATTCTAGGGGTGCTTATGAAATTCTGCCTAGGGATTATTCTCTTATGAACTTTGCTCATTCCGGTTCCCCTAAATGTGTTTTGGAGGGGGTCTTATTGGCAGAACAAATTCTAATCTGTCATTACCATCAAAAAAGATTAGTGCCATTTGAGAAGAAAAAAACAAAACCAAACCACCCACCCCGTATCAGATTAATTTTTCATCCTTTTCATTGTGTACAAATTGCAGTGAGAGTCTCCTGCTATTGACATGTCTCTACAAGACCAATATGTCTTACTCAAACTTCTGGCATTGCATTTTAAACTATTGTAATCTATATACATCCTGCAAAATATACAACTTTCATCATTTCTAGTGAGAGGTTTTTTATGTACTTAAAAGAGGAAGCACCACGGTTTCTCCAGCACTCCAGAAGTTTCAAGCCTTGGTAACATGTTCAGTCTACTGAATTTATTTTCTAATACTTCAGTTGTATTTCCAAAACATATTTCATTACATTCTTCAAATAAGACTGGGTAATTTAAATTAATTAAATGCTTTTTAAAAGTAAAAATGCCTGTATCTTGGATCTTGCAAAAAGGTGATTTGAAAGTAAAATAAAATTTGACTAGTTAAAAAATACTGCAAATATGGAAATGGACCTTGAATTCCCAGACAGTTAAGTGAGATCATTCTTAGAAAAGCAATAGAATGACAAACAATCCCAGCTACATGGCATATTACTGAAATAATAGTTCAAGGTGATTGAAGTTATGCATAAACATGGGATTGTAAAGTCAAGCCTACAGCTCCTCTAATAACTTAATATTTTTTCTGCAATTAAAACTGTGGCTAGAAAGCTTAAGGGGATGGATAATTACTAGCAATTAACAGTCTGATTGTGTGAGATGCTGAGGTCTCTCTGCTGCTTAAGAAATTGCTTAGAGCTGTGGTTGCTTACCAGTTTGTAGGTCTAAATCCTTTAACACTTTAAGTTCCTTGAACACGATATCTGGAACTGAAGATCCAGATATCATATATGAAATGGCTGCTGTGGTGCCATGTACAGAAACAGCATACATTATCAAGGCATTGTCTTAAGAAACAAAACATGCTTTCTCTAATAAACGGAAAGAAAACACACTTATCCATTTTATTTGTAAAAATAATCTTTACATGCAATACTCCACTGACAAGCATATCAAATCCAAAATGTTCAGAAGCATTTACTCACATTTAGTTACCTGGATCTGTGTTTGGTCACTTCGATAATATACCCTAATTTAACAGATTTTGCATCTAATGTCTATTCAACAAAAAATAATGGCAGGTTATTAACAATTCAAAAAAGTCTGACTGGGTATGTGGTTGGTTTTCTTTGACCAACTGAGCATGCACTTGCAGCACATGCTGTGACAATTATTGCCCATAGTACTTTATGTACTTAAGATCTTCCAATATAGTGGTCCCTTTGAATTTTCCAGTTTGTTTCAAGAAGCTTGGCCAATGATAATGATAATAGTAAAAAAAGGAAGTTTCAAAAAATTGTTCCCTCTCACCAGAGGCTTTGTCTGTCGTGTCTCTGGCACAGATGCCGCATTTACACTTCTTTCCATTTGGGATGACCTGGAGAGAAACTGTTCTTTCACTAAGAACAGAGATGTATTTTCAAAGTTCTGTGGATAAGGGCTATGGAAAGTTGCTTTCTTCTTTGTCCCAAGGTTTCTCATTCCTATTTACTGAGCTATAAGGATTATATAATTTAGGTGAATTCCTAACTATATTGTGCAAAGAACTAGAGAAGGATGCTCTTGTTACCATTGTAGTTTTAAACACTAGAAATTACATGAGAGGCATGTCAGATGTCAGGGGCACAGGAATACTGTGCTCAATATGAGAGAAACTAGGAATTTTTAACTTAAAGGTGCGTGATATCTTACAAATGAAAAGAAACGAGAAAAGGGGACCAACTTCAAGAAGAAAAGTTATGTAACAAAAGGACTTTCCAATGAAACACTATTAATGAGATGGGGGGATAAAAAGTGCTAGGCAGATTAAAGGATAAATGAATAAATGGATAAAGTTAATGGACAGCTAAAAGAGATTACTATGAAGAATCAATTCAGAGATACATAAAAAGCTGAAGCGAGAAGAAAACATGAAAATTTGGATTAACATCTGAATTTTATTTTGAAGGTAGTTAAAATATTAGTGGTAGAGTTTATATAGATTAATTTCATCTTATAAGGGATTTGTATAAAGAATTCAATAATAAAAAGAAATGAGGTCAAAATAATCAGATCGCATACCATATTAAGGAAATCACCCAACTGAAGGAGAAACCAAACAGCTTTACATAACAGGCACAATGTTGACAATTGAAGACTTTCACATTAACTTTTCACATTTTAGAATTTCAGTTCTACCCGATAATTTGCAAAAATTGAAGTACAGCCTTAAAAGCTGAAAACGCAGCTCTGTAGCATCTTCAAGGCTTCTTGTTCTATTTGAATGATGTGAGAACATCAGTGGATCTGTGATTGCTTAAAAGAATTTCAGTCTCTTTTTGCTATTTTTTTAATGTATTCACACAGTTGTCTTCAAGTTTCCTGATTATTATTAATTATTTGTATTGCCGTAACACCTAAAAGCCTACGTGGCTGACTGCAAACTGCTTTTGGTAGGTTGTATACAAACATAAACCAAAAGGGATCTAATAGTCTTGGAGATGGTGTTGGTAAGCAGCTACAGCTATTCACTATGTTGCAGCCTCTCCCTTAGGCTGCTTCATTGGAGCCTGTTAATGATTATCCCATCTAAAACCATTGCAAAAGAACTTACCGGGGGTTTTGCCGCTGCTGTAGTGCGAGCCCAGCATTTAGTTCACTTCCCTGGTAGGTTAAATTGGTCTTTGCGCTCAAGTGACTGAATTTCAGCTTCATGCTCTAGATGAATCGTCTAACCAACCGTCCCCAAAAGGGGTGGGTAGTCTTGCTGCCCTCTTCACCCCTGAGCAGTCATTCCCACTTCCTTTGTGCCAACAGCGGTATCTCTATGAGTGCTGTCACTTAAATTAGAGGTGGCTCACAGAACTGAACTGGTAGAAAAGGAGCAGCTCACTGCAGGATTAAAGCAGAGCCAGCGCTGCTGCCAGAAACCAAATGGCTCTTTCTCCTAGGTGCACTGTTAAGAAGATGGCAGTGGCTCCTGAATTGTCATCCCGCAATGGTGGACACAAAATCTCAAGTACCATTCTCAGCTAAAGGGTTAATGCTAACTGTGCAGAGTGAGGGACAAGAAATTTTTTAGTTACAAAAAATTTGTCCATTATTCTTCTAGTTACCCTCGTTGTAAAATCTACTGTACAACAATGCAGTTCAGATGTTAAAGTGTGCAAAAATAGCTTAGGGAAGCAATGCTAGTCTGGCTTTAACTTGTACCACTGTAGCACATATTGAAGTTGGTGTTCTGCCTACATAAGACTTTTTGCATTAGCGCTCCTGTCCCAAGGGACGTTGTAGGATGTCCCTTAAGGCTTGGAGGATGCCATGAGAGGATATGTATTTGAGGTATTGCCAAACCAGAATGTTAAAACTAAAAACTACAACTGATAAACCAAAATGGATAAATTAGATGGTTAAACTGGAAAAATATGAAGAGCAAAATAGTTTGCTCAGAAAATGAGCTGAGTGGTTTATACTGCTATGAAAATAACTCTAATGCGACAGTTTGTGTGTCAGTTCAGACTGCTGTGGGCTGTGACCTGAGTGCTAAGTGACCTCTCTCTGCCCTAATAATTATGCAGCCTCAAATTACACCGACCAGCTCTTCAGCTCAAGCTACAGACTTTTTATCTCTAGGCAGTTAAAACGGGACCCATAGTAACGTTTTACTGCGAGTCATCCCCGCTGTTGCTACAGATGTAAACAAGGAGACAGTCGCTACAACTGGCAATTACCAAAGGGATACGGATGATGTATGACTGGCAGAGCTTTGTCCAACTACTTTCTCAGGTAGAGGAGGCTAGTTACTAACATCTGCAGTAGGTGGCGGATTTGTCGTTGACAAGAGATGTTATCGCGATAGCGATGGCGAAACCCCCACAACTAAAACTCAAGCAGGAAAAACAAGCCTAGAAAAAAAAATAAAATCAGTCTTAAACGAAACTCTGACTCGGCAGTGGCTCGGCAGGAGACGCTGCTGTAGCACGGCCGCGACAAGGCCGGTTCTCCCCGCGCAGGGGAGAAACCAGAGAAGCGGCGGTGGGAGCGGAGCGCCTCGGGCGGTGGTGCCCCGGACCCCGCTCCCTGCGCGGGAGCCTTCTCCTCAGCGACCCTCCGGCTCGCCGGAATCAAAACTAACTCGGAAAAGCGCTTGGGAGCTTTTGCAAGCAGGAAGGGGGACTGCCCCGCCGGCCTCCCCACCTCCTTTCCTCCGCCGCTTGGCGACCTTCCTCCCCTTGCGGACCTCCTCCTCTTCCTCCGCCTCCCTGCGCGGCTGGTCACACTGCAAGCCTCAGGGAGAGCCCAGCACCACCCGGCAGAACGGGGAGCAGAAAACATCCCACCTTCTGTTTTGCTTTGGGGCCCGAGTTGGCGGGGCTGGCCCTCCCCTCGACCGGGGGTGGTCGGGGCGCGGAGCTCGCTCGGGGCGTAGCCCTTGCGCTCCTCCCCGGGGCGTTGAGGAGGAGGAGGAGGCGGAGGTTCTTCGGCCGTCCTTCCCCGCCCCGCGGGCTGACCCCGCGCGGGCAGGAGGAGGAGGCGGCGCGGCCGTGCCCGGCGGGATGCGCGCTTAGCGGCGGCCCCGGCCGAGCGCAGGCCCCGCCAGCTGCACCTGGTGCCGGGGGAAGCGGCCGCGGAGCGCCGCGTCCTCCGCCCAGGCACCCGCCATGGAGAAGCGAGGGGAGGGCGAGCCGCTCTCCCACCCCTTGGAGCCCGAGCCGCAGCCGGCGCCTCCGGGGGAGAAGCGCTTCAGGCTGTGGTACGTGGGCTCGTCATGCCTGGACAGGCGGACCACGCTGCCCATGCTGCCCTGGCTGGTGGCCGAGATCCGCCGGCGCGGGCAGCGGCAGGAGCCCGGCGGCGCCCCGGGCAGCGCGGTGCCGGCCCGCGAGGTGCTGCTGCTACTGGGCTCGCCCACGCTGCGCTGCGTGCCCGCCGGCCCCGCCAGCCCCGGCCCCGTCGCCGGCCCCGGCCGCCCCGCCAGCCCCGCGCCCGCCGTCTTCATCTTCGAGCACAAGGCGCAGCACATCGCCCGCTTCATCCACAACAGCCACGACCTCACCTACTTCGCCTACCTGATCAAGGCGCAGCCCGACAACCCCGACTCCCCCATGGCCTGCCACGTCTTCCGGGCCACTGACCCCAACCAGGCGAGTGGCGGCGGGCGTAGGGGAAGGGGGCACTGCCTGGGATCCCCCCTCTTGGCTTCTCTTCCCCTCGCCGGGCGGGACCTCGGTCGCTGCACTCCGCAGCCGCGGAGCGTGTCGGTGTGCTGGGGCGGGGCAGGGTGGCGCTTGCGGGGCGCTGCGGGACCGTAACGCCCCGCACACCCACCCGCGGCGTGGGGAGAGCGGCCGTGCCCGCTGGGCTCGTCCCGCGGCTGCCTCTGCAGCTCAGGCGGCTGCAGCGCCCTCGGGAAAAAGGGGTGTGCGTGGGGCGGGCGCACAGTCCCGCGTGGCCGCGGGGTGCTGTGCCACTTCTGCCCCGAGCGCATGGAGCACCCCCTGCTAGGCCGAGGATACCCACTCTGCGAAACGCGGTGCAGCGGAAGATGGAGCCCCTTTCGTTCTCCTCCGTTCCCCCTCCATGGGGAGGCGTCGCATCTCAATGGCAAAAGCACAATTTGCTCTGGGAGCAAAACGCAGAATTTGTGTTAAATCGTCCCTGTAGTGGCGTAAGCGTCGGACAGGAATTGAGTATTGAAGATGGTGCTTTTCTGCAGACCCTGGTGGTGTAGAAACCATCGTTCGTGACGAGTGGGTTCTGTTGTCCCGGGTCACACTAAGGACACCTGCCTGTGCTCAGGCACAGGCAGTAATGCTACAAACAACTCTTGGTTTGGGTGGGGACATTGTTGATAACGTGCCAACTGGAAAAAAGTCCTAACAGTAAGACTGTATTTTCCTGACTATCTGACAGGCATTGGCTCGCAAGTCAAATGTGCAGCAGACTTCTTTCTGCTCCCTGTTTAGGGTATGTGAGCAATGGCGGTTTGACAATTGATTTTGCAAAATGGCAGCAAGAGAAAGGTCTTTCGATAACAGTTCTTTGGTTAAGTTAGGACACCTCCCCAGTTTTCACAAACTGGAGGAAAGACACATGCAATTAGAAGTGCTGGGATTTACTGAAACCACTTAGCTGACTTACTAGATCTACTGAACAGTTGCTCAGATTTCTTTTGTTTGTTTTTTTAAGTGAAGAGGGTAGAAAGCATTAAGAAAACTACAGAAGAGTTGTCGGTATATTAATTTTTATTTGAGCCCTGCGTACTTCCAGAGAGTATAACGTGGGAGGGATTTCGGTTGCATGCATAGCTGTGGCCTAAGCCATCATTAATGATAGGACAGGCGGTATCCCAAGTGGAGGTAATTACGCTTAACTTGCTGGCAACTGCTACAGCTGTAGTGCTCTGCCAGGAGAGAGCACGCAGAAGAAGCGTGAAGTGGAGGGGATCATATCTGGCAAGAGAGGAGCCAAAATGTCTTTTTAGGAGATTGACCATATGGACTGAGATTCCTGCTGTTAGCAGAAGATGCTGAATCAAATTTATTTTTGGGGTAGGTCTGTGCTGGTACCATGAGATTGTTTTACGAAGTTTAGTGGATCCCTAGTACTCTAGCGAACATGCAAATTAGTACGTATGTGTATATTTGGGAGGCTGTTTCTGACTAAAGCTTTTATCCATATATCTTCTTTCCTCATGGAGGAAAATGTCATGTGCATTGAGTTAAATCAAACACATTCTGTATCATTTGATTCCAACTGATATGTAGGTAAAGTCTTCTACTGAAGGAAGTTATTAGTGTGAACAAGTTCCCCTTCCTGTCTTGTTCTGACAATATAGTCTGTTTTACCTAGTCTAAGATTTTTTTTTTAACCTTGTTATCATTTAAAAAGAACATGTCCATCACATGACTGTTACTCAGCACATGATTTCAAACTACAGTGAGGGTAGTAAATGCACAGCCAGTGATGGGATTCACAAATGTCTGACTAACAGGCAAGTTTTTTTAAGATATCAAAAAGAAACGAATTTTTTTCCCCTCCTGAGTTTTGTTACCAGTCATTGAGACTTGGTTGGCTAAGCCTGTCCAGGTCTCTAGCTAGTGTTCTGTACTTAAGCTTAGTCCTGAGTGGATGAAGTCAGGCTGCAGGTTACTAGCTCCGAAAATCTTCTTCTGAAAGTCTTGCTTCTTATAAAACTGACACTGTTCTTGCATGCTTTCAAGATCTTTAAGTATGCACTACTGTTTCATAGTGGTTGTATGAGCCCTGTGTTGTCTACTAGATTAGAAAGTATTTTTCGCAGGTGGTATTTTAAGACAACCTCATTTGCCATCTTAGGCAGTAGAGACTTTCAGGCAATGTAAGTTGGCACTGCTACTGAGAGAAGTGATCCTGTCCCCTTGAAGCCTCAACCCCTTGTTCCTTCCTCTCGGCTTTGTCCTCATGGCAGCACAACTGTTTGTGCAGCTGCACAGCAAACAGGATCAGGGAATTGACTGGTGTTAAACTTGCTTTTCCCTCACCTTTTCTGGATTATTTCCAAACTGCTTTCCTCATTTGCTTTACTATGCAACCTTAATACCATTTACGTCAAGACAAGTGGGTTGGAGGCACATGTTATCAGTGAGTAGCCAAGAAGGGGAAGGGTCAGACAGCCTTTCCAGAAGTGCTAGAGAAGTTTCTTTTTAGAGAAGTTGTGAATACTCCATCCCTGGAATTGTTCAAGGTGAGGTTGAATGGGGCTTTGAGCAACCTGGTCTAATGGAAGGTGTCCCTGCCTGTGGCAGGGCAGGTGGAATTAGCTGGTCTTCAAGGTCCCTTGCAAGCCAAACCATTCTATGATTCTGGAAAGTTATACTGACTTAAAATTAGCCAGAGATGACTGCAAAGCCATGGTGTTTACCCATTTTGGCAGTATTAAGTTTAGCAGCACACTAAGTCACTCTGCAGTGAAGGAAGAGTGCAGGAGATGTTACATGGTCTTTGAGTTAGAAGACAGCCATAATTTTTAATGGCGGGTGTAAATTATGAAAGTGAGAGGTTAATGATTGACTTCCAAGAGATTAGTGCTACCATGATAATTCTGAAAACACAATGTAGGTGAGAACGAAAGTTTTGGCTTCAAGCCTGTTTTCTTTGTCCACCAGCTGTACTGCACAGTGTTTAGGATGCGTGTGCATTCACTATGACCACAAAAAGGGTTATTATTCTTTAGAAAAAAGCAATACTTCTTGCCATTCCCTGCAGATTTCTTTACCAGATGACCAATAAAAAGCCAATGCAATATGTGCTCTGATGACATCAGGTGGGAAGATAACATCTTTTAATGTTATTTGCTGTGATTGAAGAAAAATGAGAGAGTGAGGTAGTATGAAACACATTCTAATTTTATTTGAAAGCCTACAAATTTTAGGCAGAGCTGAAAAGTATGTGGGTCGACTCCGGTTCTGGAGTAGTACTTTGGCAGTGTTTCAAACCCAAAGCTCAGCTTGGCAGCATGGGAGTGGATGCTAAGATGCTTTTACTGGGGGGTGGGTGTGTGGGTGTGTGTGTGTGTGTCTTGCTGTTTAATAACAAGGGGAGACATCTGAAGCCATCTGACTGGTGGAGATGGGAAAAGAAATTTTTCCCTTCTTTTTTTTTCTGCTGAATTATTAGTGTTTGCTGCTTCTTGTAACTTTTCAAAGCAGTAGCCAGCTGAAGTGGGTAAGGGTAGTTGTCTGTTTAGTACTGCCTAGTAGCTTCTGAATAGCAGCCAGAGATCTGTTAGTTTTGTATTGATGTCATTTGAGAATTATTTAGGGTGCACAGAGTCTGTCTGTAGACATCAGATGACAGTATTGTCACATTTTATATTTTGACAGATTTTCTTTACAATCCTGGGAACAGATTTACTTTTTTTTTTTTTTTGTAACGAAAAGTTAGAGTTTATAAATATGGCAAGCATACCTTTCTTGCAGCCACCAAGAAAGCCTGTTTGTTTAGTGTTTTCAAGCTCAACTTCAACACATTTTTATCGTGGAATACTGATTTTATGTTGTAAACCGGATTTTAATTGTGTGGAACAAATCAATGCAGTTTGACAATTGCCTTGATTCCCTGTTTCTGGAGGAAAGGCTTATGGTATCTCTTTCTGGATTTTTTTTTTAATTATTATGCTCATCTAGGTTGTGTGTTTTCTTGAAACGTTAATAAGCCTGTTTGGAGAGAATTTTTTTTTAACCTGAACTGGCATCCTAAATCAAGTTATACTGTAATTGATTCTTATTAGTGAAGATAGTTGTTTCCTCCAGTTAAGTAAGAACTTACTGGTTGTATTTTGTTTTTCTTTTAGAAAACCTATGAGCAGTGATCAAAGTATGTTGTTACAGGGTTTCAAAACTAATCCAAGCTAGCCTTGAAAGAAAAATGTTCAGGTGCGCAGACCTCAGTAAGGTCTATGGGTGTAATCTATAGCTGTGTCTTTGTGCTACACCCATGTGTTAGGGGTCTAGGCTTTCTCAAGGTGAAGCAGAAATAATGAAACCTTTTGCTAACAATATAAAGCTGTGATAAGAACTGGAGAGATACAAGGACAGAGACAAGAGCCTGCTTGTCAAACACACTTGTTTATTCCAGGAGTGTGTCTCCTGCTTGTTTGAAAATGTGTTTCAGTAAAGCAAGGCCATAAGACAGTTTGTTCTGAAAAACGAGGCATCAGTACAAAGTCTAGTAAAAGGAGGCTTTTATGCTGTAATAATACCATGTTACATAAAGTTTCTTATTGAAGAAATGTTTGAAGAAGGAAGTTTGCCAAGTTTATGTTCGTATTTATGTTGTCCTTTGATTTTTATGTGGCATAGGAGCACGAGCTGCATGACAATTAAGTCTTGATTATAGGAAGTGCATATGTACAGCATTGTTGCCATTCATATGAAAGTGTTGCACTGGTTGAGTTCTCTGACAAGATGTGCTTTGAATAGGTATAACAGACATGACAAAAAAGATGAGCTCTAGGTTTTGAGGGATTCTGCAGGAAACGGGAGAGATGACGTTTGATTGCTAGACAGATGAGCACAAGCACAGTTTGATCGCAGAGGAAAGAAGCAACACAGTTTTCCATGAGCAAGATAGGTTGTCCCAGTTTTATCAAGAAAACAAGGCTTGGAGAGATAAAAAAAAATGTTCTGTAAGTTCTTGTGGGTCAGGATTTCATTCATGGGGTGAGAAACTGAAAAGCAATGACTCAGAACAAAGCATGGATGCTAAA